TGTTGAGGTCCGCTAGGTTGTTAAGAGGACTAGGTAGCTTCATGCTAACTTTCACTTTCAGAGTACCTGACTCCTCAAGTTTTCTTAGTTTTTGTTGACCTCCACTCACAATCATAAGGTCCTCAGTCTACTAGAGGCATCCTGACCTAGGTTATCGTCCAGCCAACCTAACTCTAGCGCTCTAATCTGATCTCTGAGAAGAAAAGCATGCTCTATAAAGAGAACACACAATCAATCTCATGGAGCTAAACATACTATATCATGCACTCATACAAGCTCAACGGAGAGGTAAAATCCATCAATGGCTCGAATTGCAGATTAAAATAACCCATTCTCCATTCTAGCATAACAAAAAATATTAAAATCGACATGCATCATAAATTCTTATCCTGGTGGTATTTTGGCAATTTTATATAACATACTTGCGTTTTCATTTAGAAACGTCATTCCAAGGTTTTAAACATGCATATTCTAACTACCTAAGGTAAGATATGCTTGCATGCTTGGGATCCAGACAAGTATTACTTGAGAAAATTGTGCTGGCTATGCATGTCTTCTCAAACTATTTATTATTATTATTGTTATTTTTGTATCTTAAGAGCTCTGAAATTTGTGAGATTTTTCTACTAGGTCATAATTCAATTTATAATAGGGTTAGTATCAAAATTAGATTGGAAAATAATCGAATGGAGGTCAAACACGACAATAAAAAAAAAAAAAAAACTCATGCATTGCTCACGTGCACAGAAGGTTGTGCATGCAGGAGTACATATGTGCCTCTAGAGAAAACATGCATTACACTCTTGGCAAGTGGTGTGTTCTCATTGGCTCGTAGGGATCAAATCGGGTCGGGGTTATTGGATCAAGTACATGGTTTCTAGGTATTATTCGAGTTGAATGCAAACGATCAGGTTGCGGTCTCGAGTTCTCCGCATAGTTGTAGCATGTCACAATACTATATTTTTAATCATACGACATCCGATCTCAACACGCTCATGACAAGTATTTAGATTTGCCTATGCATATTGAACACAACTTGTGCAGAATCTAAACTTGTTCGAACACACATGCCGCCCGTGTGTTAATGCTCAATCATCTGCGACCTTAACTAACTTGCTTCTATACTAGGCCAAGCCATGCAACACAACTTTGCCTCTACTCAGAGTAAAGGTCATTCATATGTGTTGTTGCATCTTGATTTTGCATCTTGGTTCCTGGCATGTCCTTCATGTCATGATGCCATCTTAAGTCCCATGATGCCATCGACATCGTAGCTTACTCAGACATGTCAATCGAGGATGAAACCGTGTTTCGCTCATATTGTCTAGGCCACTCAAATATCAATCCATCCAAGCTCTATTGAGGCATTGCACCCTCCCATATCCATGTCATATAATTTATTGACTTCATACCAAATAGCCTGTGCATATACAAACCTCTGACACATGGGTGAGGGCGCAGTGTCGGTACACTCCTGTTGTCCAACACTATCCTTGAAAGACATATTTTTAAGCAAGACACCTAAGACACTAGTCTTGCAACGCTCCATCTCACTGTGACACAAGTATATGCTACAAGGTAGGTTGCATAGGCCATATGGTTAGGGGGTGTAGAGAGCTGACACCATACCTCCCCCCTAAAGTGCATTTTCAGGCCTTTTTTGTCGAGTAGGAGTAAGCATGATTTTGACGAATAGTCATATGGTCTCATGGAGCGCATGTCTAGTGTCCGATTTACACCCAAATTTGGTGATCTTTCATGTTTCATATGGAAGGATTTCATTCTAGACCCACATGCCCAAACTTCTTTTGGAACCTTCCCGGGGCCCTACCCGACCCTTTATCAAACCTATCTTTGTTTCTCATGTCGACATCATTGCCTCTGTTTTTCATATGCCTCAATTTGGCTTTAATGAAGATCTCTTTGGTGTGTTAGATGATGCACCATCCTCCTCGGTCACATCATGGCACTCATCTGTCTTGGCACTCTTGCGACTGGATGGGCACCATTTGAGGGTCACTGCTTCGTCTATCGTTATATGAGGGTCAAAACCTACTCTTTTCGTAGCATTGTTGTGAAATTCTCCTCCACCTAAACTATTCATCATCCTTGATGACTTTCTCAGAGACACAATCGGTCCATGGATTGTGTGTTGGTTATAAACTTGTTTTTATTATTTGTTTTTTTATTATTATTATTTTATTTCTGTTGTTTATTTCTCCATGAAAAAAAGTCGGAAATATTGTAAGTAGGGGAAGGAACTAGTTTGTAGGGAGTGGAGTAGTAGGAGTGGAAGGAGTGGTGGAGTGCTTGCTGATTTGTAGGAGAAATAGGTAAATTTTTTAGTATATAAAGAAAATGGTGCCAAGTTCTAAAGACACCACAAAAACAAGAAATAATTTGTGTGTCTTCATTTATTCTCCCCTTCTATTGCGTTTTTTTCTTACAATTGGTATCAGAGCGTTAAGATCAAGGCCAGTTTTCAATCATGTCTCACTTAGAGATTGAGCGGTCAAGAAGGGAGAGAGATCAAAAAATGAGACAGGAATCGAGTGACAGGAGCCAAAACACCGATGCGATAGAAGGTGATGCCTCACATGAGGTGAGTGTACGGATTCAAGAAAGGAGGGATCTGTCACACTCAAATACCCGATGCTGACAAAATGCAACTATGCAGCTTGGGCGATTAAGATGGAGGTATTTATGATGGCACAAGGTGTTTGGGAGGCAATTGAGTCACCCGAAACAGTAGATAACTGTAAAGATAAGATGGCTTTAGCAGCTATTTATCAAAGTATTTGAGAAGATACGTTGCTACAGTTTGGTGCCAAGAAAACGGCCAAGGAAGCCTGGATCATGCTAAAAAATATGAATCTAGGTGCGGAAAGAGTGAAAGAAGTTAGAACGCAGACTCTCTGACGGGAGTTTGAAGCATTGAGGATGGGTGATTCAGAAAGTATTGATGAGTATTCTGGAAAATTCACCATTATCGTCAACAAATTGAGAGGCCTCGGCAATACTGTGGATGATATCCAAGTAGTTAAGAAACTTCTACGATCCACCTCTGCAAAGTTTCTTCAAATTACCTCAACGATTGAGGAGTTCAGTGATCTCAAAACGAAATCCGTTGATGAGATTATTGGATCACTCAAGGCACATGAAGAAAGGTTGCAAGAGTTTGGAGAAAAAGATGAAACCGTTCTCCTCACTCATACAGAATGGAAGGAACGAGAGACTGCAAAATCCTCAAAGAAAGAATGGAAGGATCAAGGCAGTTCCAGAGGAGGTAGGGGACGGGGTCGCGGAAGATGGAGAGGCCGTGGGAGAAGTGACTGGCATCGAGGAGATGAAGGAGAGTCGCAAACTCAAAAGAAGAGATTTGACAAAAGTAAAATTAAATGTTTCAGGTGTCAGAAAATGGGACACTTTCGCATCAAAGTGTTCCACAAAAGACGAACAACTCAACCTGATAGAGATGCAAAAGGATGAGGAGTCTTCACTGCTGATGATAGAGGCGTGTGAAATTAAAACCACACATGACAAAGAGCCTAATTTTGTGATGTTGAATGAAACTATAGTGCCGCCACCAGACAATATTGGAGCTGAAAATTCCTCGTTCCTAGATACTGGAGCAAGCAACCACATGTCAGGAGAAAGGAGGGTCTTTCGTGAGCTCGACACATCTATTGTTGGAAAGGTACGCTTCATTGATAACTCT